CGGAAACAAGATGTCCATCTCAGCGCATCACTATTGTCCACTATAATTTAGACATTCTTCAAATGGCATTTGTATCCAGGAGGGTAATAGCCCTTACATTAAAAAAGCCCTTCATTAAGTGGCTCCCCGTCACGCAGCCCATTACAGGCTCTCATGCCCTGACACTGCATAGCCTCAGAATAATGCTGCTTTTAACAGGCAAACCAAACAGGGTAAATAAACTATCTTCTTCATCTAAGGGTAAAAATATCAGTAAATGTAATATTAATATGGATAAAACCACCCCTTTGTACATCCCCAGTGATATAAGAAAGCACTGTTATTTACTTTAAGTCTTCTGGAAAACAAAGGTATCCACAGACAGTGAATAGTCCTCTAAAATAACTGGAAAAAATCCATAGCCAAAATTTGATCTCATCTTAATAGTGTTCTCTAATTTCTATCTTGGATAGTATAATGTATAAAACATTATATATGTCGAGTGCTGCACCTGGGGAGGTCGAACCCCATGCACCATTACAGGCTGGGGGATGACCTGCTAGATAGCAGCTCTGCTGAGAGGGACCTGGGAGTCCTGGTGGACAATAAGCTGACAATGAGCCAGCAATGTGCCCTTGTTGCCAAGAAGGCCAATGGTATCCTGGGGTGTATTAAGAGGAGTGTGGCCAGCAGGTCGAGGGAGGTTCTCCTCCCCCTCTACTCTGCCCTGGTGAGACCCCACCTGGAGTACTGTGTCCAGTTCTGGGCTCCCCAGTTCAAGAAAGACGAGGAACTCCTAGAAAGAGTCCAGAGGAGAGCTACTAGGATGATAAAGGGACTGGAGCATCTCCCCTACGAGGAAAGGCTGAGAGAGTTGGGCTTGTTCAGCCTGAAGAAGAGAAGACTGAGAGGGGATCTCATCAACGCATACAAATATCTTAAGGGCGGAAGTCAAGAGGACGGAAGCAGTCTGTTTGCAGTGGTGTCCAGCGACAGGACTAGGGGCAATGGATGCAAACTGAAACACGAGAGGTTTCAGTTGAATATGAGGAAGAACTTCTTCACTCTGAGGGTGGCAGAGCATTGGAACAGGCTGCCCAGGGAGGTTGTGGAGTCTCCTTCTCTGGAGATATTCAAAGCCCGCCTGGATGAAGTCCTGTGTAGCATGCTCTAGGTGAGCCTGCTTTAGCAGGGGGGTTGGACTAGATGATCTCCTGAGGTCCCTTCCAACCCTTACGATTCTGTGAAACATACACCTGAAAACATAGTGCATGCTCTAAAGGGTTTGCTTCAACATACAGAAGATGTCTTTCTTCAGAGGTACAAAGACCATCAAGCAAATACTTTGACTTCATTTTTGTCACCATGCCTACAAAAGTATAACACTTAGTTACCAACCTTGCCTCCCACAAAATGCAAATCCACAGTCATGGAAACATTTCTACATAAGGAACAGCTCAGTAGTCTTGGACCATTCAGCCTAGAATGATAGGACCTAGGAGAAGGGTGCGTATTTTATTTAAAAGGCATTTAAAAAAACTGAGTAAGTTGGAGAAGGTGATTAAGAATCGGCTTTGCCCACTTCCTGTACAAGAGACCAAGATGTACCAAACAGAAGCCATGTGCCAGTTCCAAACCAGTAAGAAGAGCTGCGTCTTCCCATGATTTGTAACAAAAGCTGTCACTCTGTTATAGGACACAGCAGATACTAGAAGGCTTCAAGGAGCCCACAGACAGTAAGACAAAGCTGACAGGGCAAAAACATTAATTCATTGAGAACATCACAAATGAAGACCTTTTCTAGTTGAGGAAATTCCAAAGTGCTAAACAGTTGGATACAGGGAAAGCGTTCAGGGCCCGATCCCCACTCAGTTGTCCTACCTCTGCATTCTTCCCTAGGCAACTGCTAATGGCTGCTCTCCAAACCAACAGACCTTTAGCTTGATCTAGCACAGTCACATTTATACGCTCTTAGAAACCTAGTGTTGGACATTAGGCGTTTTCCAAGGTTTTAATAAGTAATCCAAAGGTTTTATCATGTAAGCTGCAGTTCAAACAATTTCCAGGTTTGTATTTAAAGCTGTACACAAGCACCTGCTCTAAGTGTTCACTTTATTTCAAAATTAATCATTAAGTACTGCATTTATTTTTCCTCTAACAGAAGATAAGTGGCTTTTGCCTTTGCTCATAATTTCAGAAATACAATGTAGGTCAGTATAAAAAAAAATTCTAAAGTGGCATTAATTACTCAAGAATTACACTTGCCTTTACCAATACTGTTTACCACTGCTATACTTGCAAAATGCTTTCCATTAGGACAAGTTTTCACATTTTCATAGTGCTCTCACGCATGTGCCATTAGGTTTGAAGTTTCTGAAGATTTATCCTCCTCCAAAGCACAACATTGAGTTAAACCCTTCCCTTGAATTAAAAGTAAAACATGAACTCAGTTGTCAATTTTTTTCTGGTTTTCCTATTTTTACATGTCCTTTTCTCTCTCTCTCTCTCTTTTTTTTTTTTTTTAAAAAAAAAAAGCTCTCTGAAGCTACTGACGACTAAAAATTGACATGTGAAAATTGAGTATAAGCCTTTACGACTACAATGGTTCTGGGTGAATCTGGTAAAGTTAGAGCCCTGAAAGCCACATCCTCAGCGTAAGGGTATTATCTTTCCAACATACTGGTAAAACAGTGCTCCTTCTGAGCCAAAGCTGTACCAGAACATGTATTTCCCCTACTAAGGCCAAGGCCAGGACATTTTATTGGATTCTAGAGCGATGTAAGAGACAAGGGTTACAAAGAGGACATCAACACACGCATTAAGGAGCTCTGCGCCTAGCTGAAGGCTTATATGGCCCAACAAAAAGAGATGCAGAGAAAACAGCCCCTAGCACTTCAGTTTCTGCGCTGCTCAGCTTTTCTGGACACCTCTTCTCTCCTCTCATTCTCTGGCTGAACGGGAAAAAGTGGGCTGACTCTGGTCCCTAGGAGATCCTTGACTTCTATAGGCTAGAAAACACAGCATTTTTCAAAGTGAAAACACCAGTAGTTTAACTTTACCCATACCTTCATTACCACATCTTATTCTACTTGGATAACTTCTTCACGAGCAGCGGACTGCTTTCTAACCTACAGTTTCAACAGTAATCAGGCAGGGTCAGCAATGTTAAAAACCTGCACGGCAGATGATTGCACACTGTTATTTCCCTCCTGCTTTTGCTTGAACCTCTTGCTGCTCCACTTCCTGCAGACAGACCGGAGGAATTCAGCACTCATTTTAGAACTGTGTTACATTCTTGGACTTCATTTAAAATCGTGCTATTTCAAACACAAAAGAGCTTAAGTATTTAGATACAGCACAGATCTTCAGAATCCGAAGACCCTGAACTTCTTAAGGGCAGCTCATCAGATGAGACTGCTCACTTTTAGTCTGGATGTCAGTTACCAAACATCACATTTTTAAACAGTGGTCCAAGAAGTATAGAATTCTAACTAGAGGAAGAAAAAAAATTAATAATAAGACCTTCTTCTGTATCTGTTTTGGACTATCTCTGAAACGTGCCCTTATTCTGCTAGATTTTATTGAGCAGCCACAATTCCACATATAGATCTGAAAAAAGAACTTCCTCCACAAGAGTCCACATGCTACACTCAGAGGAAAAGGGTCTGTAGCAGAACTGAACAGAAATCAGGTGCTAAAGTCAGAGAGAGCACTGTGTTATTTAACTCGGAAAACTGGCTACGGATGACAGCTATGTTATTTGGGAGAAGCAAGAAGCAGCTATCCTGCCATTTAGATTCATTCAAAATACGGTTCCTCAAATTTCTTTCTTCCGAAGACTGAGAATACCAAGTTTTTTACAAAATGGTGTTTCCACCACGATTAAAATACCTCCAACCATTTTAATAAACCACGTAGACTCTGAAAAACGCAAACCAAAAAGTAACTGATTTCTGCCTTCCTAGGGGACATATTATTTTGAATTTGTTAATACAAGACCATCAGCATCATGAATGCTGATGCTTCGGGGCTTAAGTTTACTCTTCCATATGCAAACCTGAAGCACCAAGCAGTCCATTAAAAAGTGTTACTTAATTAACCTATTTTGTAAGATATGGGGCATAGTAACAGCTGCTCATATCAGTGACTCCAAAGCAGGGGGAACCCTGCTAGTTAGCACTTAAGTAGTAAAATTGCATACATTAACCATGATTAATAATGCACAACAATATATAAAAAGCAGGAAAAGGAATGGCGCAGAGGTTAGGTTACTTCTGTACAGCAATATTTCCCACTCCTTCTCCACGCATATCTCACTTCACAAAACCTTTTAGACACAAATAAAGTAGCCATGACCTTTTTTCCTCCTCTGCATGATTAATTACTTATGTACTATTAATTGGAAAATGTAGCTGAATTTCAAATGCTTTCATTTTCTCAGCATATCATGCTGTCTGGGAAGCGCCGATTAAGCTGTTCATCAAAGGTGAGCAGGCAAGGTCATGTAGGCTGTACCTCTTCAGTTATTCATTACCTGTCCTAAATAGTAATTAACAACAGCAATATTTCCATAAATCAAAGCTTTTCTGATTACCTTCAGATGATGAGTGGTTGGGGGGAAGGGAGGGAAGGAATCAGTGTATGGGGTTTTGCATGTCTCCTTTTTTTTTCCACATTTTGTTCTAATGCATACCTGAATAATTCAATCGATACATTAGCTGTCACTTAAGACACAAAATTTCACTGGAAGTCAACAGGAATTCCACGCAGAATACAGAAGTAGTTATGAATTCCTTTCTCCCTTCCCTATCCCCCCAACTTTAAAGGTGGATTTCATCTAAAAAGGTTTCTCAGTTACCAAGAGTGTTGTATTTATTATTTTTGTTTCCTTTAACTACCTCCATTATCAGTTTTGAGGTGGGAGATCACAGAGTATGGCCTTGAATCCATATTCAGCAAGACTCTGCTTTTCTTTATAACAGAGAAACTTGTCCCTTCAGTGTCTCGGGGGAGTTTCTCACCTTGAGGCATCTCAGGCGGCAAATAGTGAGGCTCTTGAGCACTGACATGTACCCAGTCGAAGTCATCGTACAAGTCTTGGTGGTAGTCACAGGGTCCAGGGCCATCATCGAACGTACATCCCCCTAGGGAAGAAACTTGTTATTAGCTTATTTAAAAGCAGGGATTTTCCAGGAGTCAAGCAGAGGTGTTCCTCCTGGGCACACCGCAACTACGGAGTCCATGCAGCCCATGACACCATTCACAGGCTCACCTGCACAAAGCTAAAACCCCCAAGTAGCTCATCCATCAGTGTTCCTCCCTCTATTTAAAATGTCTCTGCTTCACCCAACCAGTTTCCCCCAACAGCACCTTCTGTCAGAGCTGGAGACCACAGGCGGAGTCACTGAGCCCGAGAGAAAGCCAGCTCAGTGCCTGCGTGACAAAAAGCACCAGGCTATCCAAAATAAGGGGGAAACAGAAAATAACAGACTAGGCTCCAAAACTAAAGGTGTAAACCAGCAGCTTCAATGCACTAAAAGCATAAGTAGTCCAAACACCGACAATAAATAGTGTATCCAGATAAAATAATTAAAATTACTTAGAAATTAAACAACTGCTGCAGAATGAGTTAGATGATCTTGCTTTATTAAATCAATCTAGCATAACAGAACACACATTAAAGGCACATTTTCAGGGTCACACAAACAATGGATATGAAAACCTTACAACAGAAGTTGTGAGGGAAAGAAGAAAAGTGACTGGGAGAAAGAAGAAGGGGAGAAATGTAAAAGATGCAGGGGTGGGAGGGAGGGGGAACAGCACAACCAAAAATTCCTGTGTAACATAACAAAGTCTGCCCTGCCTCATTCAGTAAGTTTGTTATTATATTCTTCACTCAAGGCAATTAAGTAGGCTGGGAAGAAGAGAAAACATGGTGAACATGGGACAACACTAATGTCTGAGACAGAAGAAGTAAAGGAATCAGAAGAGCCTGGTTGAAGAAAAAGTAGAACGCAAACACAAGAAAATACAGATGTCTCACATACGCTCTCTCCATTCATAGCACACAGTCCTCGAGTTTGCCCCTCCCGCTCAAAAATAAAAGGCATAACCAGGAGAGAGTGGAAGAGAAAACTCAGTGCAGTCATCTTTATTTAGCCAATCTTTTTTAATCCAGAAAAGGAGTTATATCAGAACTCAAGAATTAGATTATGAACAACTCCTGGAAATCAAGGGAGATATTTCTTGCATCCTCTCCTCCCTGTTCTCAGTAGTTAGGGCATATCGATCCAATCAAAAACTGTTGTTACAAGAATTCCTCGTTAAGACGACACCTCTAGAATAACAGAGGCATTTGTGTCCACTTCATTGTCTGATTTTTTGAATACAAAACATGGGACAAGTACTGTGGGTCCCAAGAAAAACAAACAAACAAACAAAAAATCCTTATTAAGGTAAATTCCAGTGTCACCGTACAATGAATCACCACCACTCCACCAACAGCGAACACCTTCCCACGCCTGCCAGGCTCTCACCAGCCCACACCACACCCCGGAGGACAGGGCAGAGGTAGAAAAGGGGGAGAATGAGAACCATGAAGAACTACAGTCTGTGCTCATTTCTGCCCTCTGTACAAGACATGCATGGCCTGGAACTAGGACTGGCCAGACAATAAGGAAAGGAGGAATGGGCAAGGGTGTCACCAAATTGAGGATAAAAATATTTTTTACCTACCCAAAATGGAGTACTCCAACATCACATAATAGGCAGAGAGTTTGCAAAACCAGTGTTCATATTTGGGGAAGGGGAAGTCCCTTTTACCAAATTTCATTAGAAAATCTAGACTGTGTCCCAAACTGAGATTATGTTTCATCTTCAGTAAGAGACAACTCAAATAATTCCCACAGTTCTGAAGTATTTGTCATTTTGAATAAATTTTCACTAATTCCACTTCACTAAAAACCAGTGCCAGCTACTCATTTCAGGGCACTCCTAGGACCACTTGCTAACCAGCGCTTTGGCTGGCAAGGATAACACCAGGAGAGAAAGAAACCTTTACGATGCTAAATACTTGCACCATAAAACCTTAATACTTCATCTTCGGCTCTATGTTAGCAAAACCTTCTCAGATGTCACCCCGTGACAACATAAGCACGGCAACAACATAGTCCATACAAAGTTGGTTACTACATCAGTGTGAGCCAAAGACTGCAAGGCACAAGAAGAGAAATATTTGTGCGTCAAAGAAACATTTATGCCTTTAAAAGTCCCAACTCCAATGCCTTATTACCACCAAGAGACTTTTCTAATTAACATCTATCATGATAAAACCAGAAAGGCTTAGAACATAAATCTTGGTCTTTGATTTAACTTACAATACACTGCTATGATCACTCTACAGCAAAATCGTACGTTTCCTTCGACATTTAATTGATAAATGAATAGCAGTTTCTCTTAAAGGGAAGTTATCACTGTCTGCTGTCCCAGCACCAAAATGACATACGGCTTTGAAGCACATGCCTGCAGGGCACCCATTACCCTTTTTAATGGGTTAAGTGCCCTCAGTGTATAAATTTGAACTGCCATTGAATCTTGTAGACTCATTTGGAAGATGAATGTCCTTAACTGCTCATCTTTGTGCCCACTATTAATTTTAGTTATCAGGGTTCTGATTAGCAATAACAACGCACCTGTTAATACACAGCAAGCAATGCAAACCTCCTTGTGTGTAGCGCATCGCTGCTGCATCCACAGAACAAGCAAACGTCCATTTATCGCGTGCACATAAACCAAGTTTTTCAGGATGGATTGTCAACCCACTACTAAACCCACCCTCTAGCAACTGCCTAAACCGATGGCTTCCTCTCTAGAGCAGACCTCCTCCTCTTACCAACAGGTTGTGACATTTCAAGGCAAGTAAAGTAAAAGCCAATGCCGTAGTGATTTATCCAGTACAACACAACGAGAGAGACCAGGCATTTTAAACCCCCTGCGGACTATTCCTTATGACTTAAAGCATGAGCAAATTTGGATCTCCCCTTCTTTCTTTTAGCAGTCAACTGCCTGCGTGCTATTTCAGTAACTCTGCGTACTACAAAACAAACCTGGTGTAACATGCTATGTGGAAAACACAAGGAAAAGAGACGATGGGTGGGTGAAACCTGCAGTAATTTATTTTATTTCCAGTCTTTGTTCAAAGCTATATACATTTTAAATCAATCTTTAACCACTCAAACATAAAACCCATCTGACAGAAGTACACCACAGGTCAGGACTCGTTAGTACCCTAACTCAGCTACTGGGTCACCCTCCACAGTGATGCGACAGCACCATTCAGGAACTCAATCAAAAGGTAACTTCAGTACCAACCACTGTCCCCTTATGTATCACCACCACATTCCCTTAGCTAGAAGTTTATGTATAACCTGCAATTTATCTTCATTGCTACACTGCCACACATGCTGTGCCACAAACAGCGATTTGCGCCTCTGCTCAGTCTCCTGGCTGGAAGCACACAGCACTGACATTCAAATGCTCTTGGACCTTGCAGTACTTAAATCCACGTTTACCTTAGAAATCTAAAGTAAGCCTTAGATTACCTTAGATTTCCATGCTTCAGAAAAAGGCATCAAAGCAATACACCAGACTGGTCTGACCTCAACAGCCTCATGTGGGCCCAGGGACTGGCACGCAAGGTGGCCAGCATCTCCTCCCTTCAAACGCTGCTGCCACCAGGACATGGCCCAGATGGGGACAAGCAGCACGCTCTGCTGAGGGGCAGCACCAACCAGAACCATGGCTTGCTGCATCGTTGGTGGTGGCACTGGCCAACAAGAAGGCATCGACAAACAATTTAACAAGAAGAAAAGTCAGGTAGGCCATCTGAAACAAGCACCCTATTGACAACTGGAATCGTAAGCTGGGAAGACAGAAGGAATCTTAAGTCTGGATGGTTATTTTGCCAAACTGCTAAGTGTATGTTGGGTCAATCCAATGCGTTCAGTTGCTGAGGAAGTATTTGGGAAACACTGACGTTCCACAGAAACCAAGCAAACCAGCAATTCACCATTTCCATTACCTTTTCCCATAAGCTTCACCAAGTTATTAACTTCAGCTTAAAACACACCTAGAACTCTCACACAGTCCTCTTCAACATCCTTCTAAAAGACAACTGATACATCATGCTAGCCTCATAAAAATGTCCTACATGTCCATTTTCATTTATAAAAGATAAGGAATCTTAAATGTTCATTATAAAAAGAAAGATATGAATATCCCACACTGAACTCTCGGAAAAGAAATTAAAGCTCCACTAAATAACAAGGTCATGAAGATTAACCTAAATTTAATCTTTAAAATTGATCTTAAAAACCCAAAGATTAAACTAAATTTAATAAAGATCATATAGCCAAGGTTTACAAATCACCTATAAAAAGCTATTTAAAGATGCTTGAATTTAAAGACAAATTACATTTTTTAAAAGGTTACCATGATATTACCTTAGCAGCAACACTCAGTATTTACTCTGCTCTGTGATTCTGATTTATACTACATCCTATCCTGGGTTGGTATGCCAGAAGGGCTGAATGGATTTTTCCCCACCAGGTTAAAATATAAATAAGTTTAAGACTAAGAGAAGCATGCGTCAGTAACTGCCACTGATAAATCCATGCCCACTATGTATCCTAACAGTGGCTTCCCAGCTCATCAGCTCAGGACAGAAAGGAAAACTGATTCAGATTTTGAACTAATGACCTTTATCTAACAGTTCCAGGGTTCTCGCTACACTTCCTAGAGACCACATCACTTTTACTATTTAGAACAGAACCAGTCAGCTGCATACCAATTATTACAAGAAACTTAAGATACCCATAGTATTTACGATGAATGGCTTTATAGGGTTGCTGTACCGGAGGGAGATCTACTGACTTCTAGGTAAAAGAAGCCATTCCCACATATCACCTAAAAATTCTCTATGTCAGTCTTCATATTTAATTAGACCTTAACAACTCCAGTGCCCTTTAAAATACAGTCAGAAAAGGGATAGTAAAAAACCAATTCAAAATGTTCAGAAAACTACGAAGTCACAATAAATTAAATACCTACCGATATAACTAGCTGATGAAGAATAACACACATTTACTGGCCATGCTTT